AGACACCCAAATAACTGTCTGTCAAATGTGTAACAGTGTAAAAGTCATTTGAACCCATGTCGAAATCACATGTCTTGTCATGCTTTCACATTTAATAGTCTGAAAAGCATGCACAGCTTATTCATTCTCAGTAGAAACTATGAAATTAGTAGCTAATTCCCTAACATCCACTGGTAATCCATATTATATGTTTGTTTAATGTGGGGGTTTTCTTATGTGGCATGCACTAAATATTTTGCCCTGCTGATTTACATATTAATTACAATTGTTTGCCAAATGTATATATTTAAATAGAACAGCAAGGAGGACATTTCAATGCAGAATTTTTAAATGATCCCAAAGTTTCTAAACACTACTGGGTTTTTTTTGTTTTGTTTTGTTTTTTTAGGGTTTTTTTTTTTTTTTTTTTTTTTTTGGGGGGGGGGGGGGGACTCTTATTTCCAAACTAACTTGAATTTTGTTTAATGTGCAACACATAATAGACAATGTCAGACATTATTTTGTTTTTCTTTTTGCAGCTCTTTTTTCAAGAAAAATCATGAAACATGAAATTTAAAGATGTTATATGTTCCATAGTTCTGATAAAATAAAAATAAATAAATAAAAAGAAAATAGTTGAAAAGCTTAAATTGACAGTGATTCACAATATTCTGTTTTTTCTGATTAGTGAGTGCAGCACAAATACACCAGGATGTGAAAGATTTTTTTGTATTTTTTATTAAATGTACTTAATGTGGCTACAGGGGTTTTAATCATGAAGTCGAGGAGAACTGTTGATTGCATAAAAGCAGTAAATTCATGTGCAGCCATATTCGTTGTGTGTGTTTGTGTATACACTTTTTATTATCTCTTCAGGCGCAAACCAGAAATTAATGTGCTAAAATATTATTTGTGGATTCTGATATAGCATGTTAACTCGGGCAGGAATGAGATTATAATTAGGCATACATAGGTCTGTCCTGAATTTTATTTAACCTTTAGTTAGTCTCATTGAGTCTTGAGGACTCATTTTCAAGAGAGACATGTTTGGAAGCAGATGGTGGGGGTTAAGGGCTTTGCTCAAGGGCCCAGAATGGGGTAAATGAAGGTGGAGACAGGTGTGGGTGTTTCACCTTTTCCCCCCACATTTTGAAGTTGTGGGTCCAGGGAGTCAAACTGGTGACTTTCCGATCACAGGCCCACCTTCTCTAGCCTCTGTGCCACCACTCCCCATGGTGAGTCCCCAAATAACTGAGTCAGTGCAATGTTCAATGTAAGGTCAGTGTTGTGTAAATGTGTTTGGCTGAGTGGTAAATATTAAACAAATAATATAGTGAATCTATAACGCAATAACCTACTCAAGATGATGTAAAAAAATGCAAAAGGCAAGTACAAAGTAATAACTATGTAAAAATTGGTAAGTAACCAGTGTTGACACTTGTAAATGGAATGGTAAATAGACTGTACTTAATAGCACTTTTCTATCTAATCAAGACATTCAAAGTGCTTTACAACACAATCAGTGCTCTCATTTACCCATTCATACAGCACTCTACTACACTGCCTGGCCAAAAAAAAAAAAGTTGCCACCTGGATTTAACTAAACAAACAGGTACGAGCCTCCTATTTGATAATTACTGCATGGACAATTATGTTTCAGCTGGTAACGAGTTATTTAACCCCAACTGGTGCAATGAGTTGCTTCTAATTTCTTAACCATGTCGAAAGACAACGCGTGGTCATGGAAAAGATGTCAGTCTGTTTGTCAAAAATCAGTGGCATGCATCAAGCAGAGAAAGCATCTAAGGAGACTGCAGAAACTACTAAAATTGGGTTAAGAACTGCCCAACGCATTATTAAAAACTGGGAGGATAGTGGAGACCCATGGTCTTTGAGGAAGAAATGTGGCCGGAAAAAAAATCCTGCATGATTGTGATTGGTGATCACTTTTAAACGTTTGAAGTCAAATTGAAGGAAAACATCAGTAGATCTCAGGGCTATGTTTAATGTAAATGCATACATATGTTTGGCTGAGTGGTAAATACCATGGTACCATGGTAAATGAAAGTAAGAGCATTTCTACACACACGATGTGAATGGAACTCAAGGGACTGGGACTAAACAGCTGTGTAGCCTTAAGAAAACCACTAATCAGTGAGGCTAACTGGAAAAAAAAAGGCTTCAATTTGCTAAGGAGCATAAAGATTGGACTCTGGAGCAATGAAAGATGGTCATGTGGTCTGACGAGTCCAGATTTATCCTGTTCCAGAGTGACGGGCACATGAGGGTAGGAAGAGAGGCAGGTGAAGTTATGCACCCATCATGCCTAGTGCCTAGTCATCAATGCAAAATATTTGTGAAAAATTAATGTAACACTGGATAGAAATGGATCATGTGACATTGCAGAAGCCTATTGAAACAATGCCAAAGTGAATGCATGCCATAATCAAAGTGAAAGGTGGTCCAACGATATATTAGTGTGAGACCTTTTTTTTTTTTGTGGCAACTTTTTTGGGGGCCAGGCAGTGTATATTTGTACAGGGAATAATCAGTGCTTTATCACATTCATACACCAATGGGTCACACATCGGAGGCAATGAGGGGTTTGGTGTCTTGCCCAGGGACACTTTTGCATGTGACTGCTAGTGGAATCGAACCCCCAGCTCTTGCGTTGGAGAACGACTGCTCTAACCACTCAGCCACAGCTGACCCTGTGTAAGTTTTGACATTTAAATTTTTGTAGAAAACAGAATACAATACTTATAAATGTTGGAAAAAAATGTGACTTTTGTTAAACGGTATTCAGCTTCTTGTACAATTAAAGTACACTGGGGATTCCCTATAGCAAATGCATTTATAAAAGGCTGTGTGTGTGTGTGTGTGTGTGTGGGGGGGGGGGGGGGG